TCGTCTATGTACGAATAAATAATCAAAGTGATTCAGGAATACATCAAAACTGTAAAACATTACATAAACTATAGTATTGACAATCATCATAAACTTCCCTGCATAAAACATCATTTCTAAAAGCAATTCTACAGTGGTAAATAACTTCAAAACACAAGCCAGTGATTAAGATTAATAATGTCAAATATTCACAGACTGGATTGTGAACTGATGACAGGAAATGGAAGTCAACAGGAATTTGTATTGTATAATGTAAAAAAAAAAACAATTCCTTAATAATTATCAATTCTAATAAACATCTCCTTGCAATTATAAGTGTCAGTCTATGTGTGTCCATCTTTGTTCCTTGTTATGTGCACTTCTACAAAAACAAATCTATATGAATAATCTCTCAGCTAATCTCTCTATAAATTATTTTAAATCTAGTTATTTCACTACGAGATAAAACATGATTGAGTGTTCTTAAATACCCTGACATCAGAAAGGGATGTGTGGTTTAGAAAAAAAAAGTGTTTTTTTTTTTGTTTTGCTTTTTTTTTGGGCTTAGAATCTCATGTTAATAACAAAACACACGATGCTTACTCTCCTACAAAATTCCTCCGTTCTGCGACCACCGCACGACTCCCTGATTGTTGCCATTACTGTGTTTTTTAATTTTGTTTTTTTATCATTTTTTTCCTCTGACTTGGCTCCGACCTCTTTCTGTCTCCTCGCGTCTCTTTGAGTGCCTCCCGTGACCTGGCTCGACCCTGTTTCTCGCGCCTTAGGGTTTTTTTTTCAATCTGGTCTAGGATTCTCGTTGGTATGGATAGTGTATAGCCTATGCTGCCTTTAATGCCTTCAGATGGTGCCCTATAATGCCCTTTCTGGAATAACGACTGTCTCACCTGTGCTGTATAAATAAAAGTCTCAAGCTTGTAATATCTCTTACCACGTTTAAAAGGTCTGTCTTGATTCGTCTGTGTTAGTTGGGTCTACTAAGGATGGTCTTTGTTTTTAATAATGAAGCGTTGAAGTTATTTTTTTACCTTCCCTATCACAAAAAAGGTCTTTTGTTGTCTGGTGTCACCCTCATAAGATCTATCTAAAGGTTCCTGTGTGTTCCTAAAATGTGCCTAAATTCTGTTTATCATTATCCCCCCCCTCCTCCCCCCCAAAAAAAATTGTACCCACCCCGCATACCATCACTTCTTTCACATTCCCCGTGTGTATTTGTACATTCATCAACTCCTTTCCACTGTCTACTACCCTTTTCCTCTGATCATTCTATTTCCTCCTTCCTTTTCTTTCCCTCATGAGGACTCCACCATTTCCAATCACACCACGTAAGTCAATCGTTGCCTCACGTTTCCCTGTTTTCAAGTGATAGCTCTTCCCCCGTTTCGAAGGTGTCATCTTCTGATACTGTTGGCTGTCGACTGTCTCCTTCAACTTCCATATATTCTTCAGTCAATTGAGCAACGTCTACCTGTTTTAGTGTATTATTATCACACTGCATATCACACTCACTAATATTTGAGCTGGTTATGACCGTTGTTTTGTAGGAACATGTTTCATACACTTCTGATGTTACATTATTGTTAACCGATTCTTTCCCACAAACGTGTTGGCCTGAGCCACAGTCAACCTCTCCTTCCTCCGAACTGTCCGTTTCTTCTGTCACATCTTTTCCCTCTTCCTCTTCAGATTCTGATTCTCTTTTCACTGCTTCCTCTTGTTTACATCCTCCCTCTCCTCCCTCCGACCGATAGTAAAATTCTATGATCAGGGGCCTGTATTCTCCTTCCTCCGACCTGCTGTCTCCTTCCGAAGAGCTACTGCCTTCTCCTTCCTCCTTCATTTCCTCGTGGATCTCCCCTCCTTCTTTCTCCCTGCTGTCCACTTCCATTTCCATTACGTTCTGATTCCCTTCCAGAGACCCAGGTTCAACTGGTTCACTCTCCGAGCCGTAGTCCCCTTCCTCCTCTGAACTGTAGCTTCGTCCTTCCTCTGCTCCAGATTCTCCCTCACTTTCTGCTGCTGTTCTTGTGTTTTTATTCTCCTCCTCGTACAAATTTCTCGTGGTTCCCTCTGGAAGTCCACGGTCTCTTTTTACAGCATCCAGAAGTGTGTGTGTCTGAGCTTTGTTGTCTTTGTCGTCATCATTCACAATTCCTGTTGCCGGTACATTCTGTCTTTCCAAAGGCCCACTGAGAACTGAATCTTCCCCTTCTGGCCTTCTCTGTGACCTTTCTTTATTCTCCTCTTTTGTCATATTTTCACGCATCTCACTTTCGCCCTTGTCCTTGTACTGATCAACTATATATACACCCTCTAACCCCCTAGAGATATTGTCATCTCTCTTCTCAAATGCGTGTTCAGAATCCTTCGCCTCTCCTGCTCTATGGCTTGACTCGTCTGTTCTCTCTTTTTGGGAATCGTTTATTGAATATTCTCTGATCTGTTCTTCTCCTTCTACCTCCTGTAATTTTATTTCTCTTGTTGCACCATCATCTTCATCTTTACTCTGCTCTTCCCGCGACCTGCCTTCCTTCTCCAATTCCAAAATATTTTCACATTCTTGATCCTTAATCTCAACTAACCCCTCAGTCCTAACTATGACTTCTCTATTCTCTTCAACTTTCATTTCCTCTGACATTCTCATTTCCTCTGTGACATCTGCCCCTATTGCATGGATTTCTAGCCCTGCTGTTGGTTTATTAGTGTATTTCTGTTCGTTTTGTTTATCTACATACTCTTGTTTTTCAGTTGCTGGTAGCATTCTGTCTCTTTCGCCGTGTATACCCTTCGGTTCCTCTGCTCCCTGAGCTTCAACTGATCTCTCAACTTCCGGAAGAAGCCTCGTTTCATTTCTTGCAAGGTCTTCAACATCATATTCATCTGAAGAACTGTTTTCCCTTTGTGCCACTTCTGACCCTTCATCTTTTTGCAACTCTTCTAACATGTACTCCCTCTCAGCCTGTTCGGAAATCGATTCTGTTTGGATTTCTCTAGCTATGACATTTTCCTCTGCTATTTCTGAAGTGCATATTTCCTTTGGTTGATCTGTAATGCAATTTTCATGAGCTTTTTCCAATGGCTTCTCCGGTGTCTCAGATATCAGGACCTCTCTTTCCACCTCCGATGTTTCCTTTTCTTGTGCATCTGCTAAGAGCTTTCCTTGCGTCTCATCTCTCAGATCCTCCGCTTCTGCCAAGTCCCTGCCTTGTGCTTCGTCTACCACATGTTTCCTTTCAACCAGATCCTCTCCGTGTGCAGCCACCGGCAAGTTCTGTTCCTGTGCATACTCTGCTTGGTATTCTCCCTGTGCAGATTTTGAGATGTCCTTGCTATGTGCAGAATCTGGTAACTCATCTTGCTCTGAATCTGGTAAGTACTCGCCTTCTTCAGACACTGAGTCGCACTCTTCTCGTACCATTGCTATGTTCTCTTTCATCAGGTTCCTTTCCTGTGTAATCTCTAATGCATATTCTTCTTCTGTTTCCTGTCCACTATATTGTGCCTCTGCAGATTCAGTTACATATTCCTCATGTGTCTCCTTTACCAAACAGTCTCCCTCACCAGCGTCCTTTAATAAGCAATTTTGAGTTGCCTCCTCCTGAGCAGCTTTCTCGTCCTGCACCTCTTTCACTAAGCACCCTTCTAAGTCAGTCCCTGGTTTGTATATTTCCTTTGTCTCCTTCCTAAAGTGTTCTCCCTGCCTAGGTTCTAATGTGGATTCTGGATGTGCCTCATACACCAAGTGCCTTCCCTCATCTGTATCTGGCAAACAATTTCCTGGCTCATCAATTTCATCATCTCCTTGTGCTTCTTGTATGTCTTCTTCCTGAATTTCCTCAACTGAATATTCTCCCTGCACTCCACCTGACATGTTTTCACTCAAAATATCCTCTGAAGACCAACCACCTTTTATTTTATCTAATAAGTATTCAACCTGTATCCCATCTGCTACCTCTTCTGACTGCCCTGTCTCTAGTAAATCGTCTTCTTTATCTTCCACATCTATTTCTCCTTCTTTTAGTTCTAATTTCCCTTTCTCCTTCTCTGCTTCATTTAACTGCAATACCTCGTACTCTAACGCCTCATCTGACTGCAGTACGTCATAATGCCCCCGCTCCTCCTCCATCTGGGGATCCATTTCTCTGCCCAAAACTAAGTCTCCATGATCTAATTGCTCTGGTGCGAGCGGTACATCTACCTGATCCTCAGCTATCTTATCTTCATTTTCTTCCCTTAATTCTGACATTTCACCTCTTCCCTGCTCTAATCCTATGAACTCTTGGGTTTCTTGAACATCGATTTCTTCCCTTTCAGCCTGATCTAATACCCTGTCTTCCTGTACAAGTCCTAATTCCCTTGAATCCCTCATTTCCTCTGACAATTCAGCTTCGTCTCTATGAATCCTAGTCCTAACTCCTTCACACGTCAAATTGTCTGCTTCCTCTAATACATATTTCTCTTCTTCTAACTTTCTGTATTCCTTTACTTCCTCTGAATTACTGCTCGAGTTCGCTCTTTTTATCTCTACCTCCAACCTCTCTCTTTCTAACATTGTTTCCCTTTGCATATCTTCTACAGCTAGAAATTCCGGTGGTGTTCCAATCATATCCCTATATACACCTAAATCCTTGTCCTCAGACACATACTCAAAGAAATGTGTATTGTGCGAATCCTCTGGTGTGTCCCTTCCCTGCATTACTCCACAAGAACTGAGATTCTGTTCTTGCAGTCCTAGCACCTGGTGCCTTAGCTCTACTTGTTGCCTCTGTTCTTCCAAGACTAACTCGTCTTCTAATAAGAACTGAGGCCTTTCTTCCTCTTTTCTTCTTTCTTCTTGCCTCTGTTCTCCTTCTAGCATATTATCCCACTGATCCCCTCCTAGCTTACTAACATTTTCAGCAGACAAAGAGTCCTCTGTGCCTCTCTCTGCTTCGCCTAGCATTCTCTTTGCTTGTGCTTCCTCTTGTATGCAATCTCCCGCGAGTCTTTCTATCCGACTA